CTCAATTATCTCGAAATGAGATAAATGTAAAAATGGGCTCTTTTAATTGAAGACACTCCATATGAAAATTCGCTAACAAATCTGATTATATCCAATTAAATTTGCCAGAAGCAAGTAACATTGGAGAACAAAACTTCTTTAAAGTTCTGTTAGCTATTTATTATGTAAATTTATTACTTGCGAACTTGCTTTTAAAGAAGTTTAATCTGATTTAATCAGATTCGTTAGCATCTGTATAGTATGAAGATTAAATAGTTAGTAAATAAATATAAAGGAAGGCAACATAATTCAGTAATTAGAGATTACAGGTTTTTCTTACATTTTGCATGGATAATAAATAAAGATTTACTTATTTGTAACCAAAGCAGACAGTTCTTTATAGAGTTCCAATCCATTATCCGTTTATCCGTTTATCTGTCGGATATCCGGATATCAAATAGATAATCGGATAAAATAGATTAACGGATGAATAACCGAATTATCCAATAAATTATTCAGATTGATGCAAGGAGTAAGTGTTAATGCAAGGAGTGCATATTGATCTAATTGATCTAACAGTTGATGTAATGAGTATTATATGATATAACGGTTAAGATCTAACGGTTAATCTAATGGTTGTTCTAACGGTTGTTCTAACGGCTGATCTAACAGCTGATGTGATAGGTATTATATGATATAACGGTTGATATAATGGTTGATATAATGGTTGATATAACGGTTGATATGACAGTTGATATAACGGTTGATATAATGGTTGATATGACAGTTAATATAACGGTTGATATAACGGTTGATATAACGGTTGATATAACGGTTGATATAACCTCTAGCCACACAATGTAGTTTCTTGATTCTGCAATTTTCCTATTTAACAGCCGGCCTGCTTCGAGCAGGCGGGAAACCACTGGCTGATGCTGCTTCTCGCTTATTCTACTTCTCGCTCATTCTATTGTTACGATGATATTTGGTGCCTGGGAGCATATCATCGTTTCAGTTCGATTTACTTAGCTAAATTTACTTAGCTAAAATTACTCATAATATCATAA